AGCATATACAAGTATGAAAGCACTTGTAACTGGCAGCTCTGACCACGGTTTCAGTGTAAGAATATAAATTTTCCAATGAGGTGATGAGACAACCTCTCATCAGTGGCATTGTTCCATGACAAATCTGTGTGGTGCTACATTCATGTAAAGGACTGAGATGGAGGATTCTGCAGCCTTTCAAATAACGGCAGAGCTCTCACACTGCTGTCTGTGGTCTTCTGGGCCAGCTAGATTTGCTTCTCACACCAGGTAAGAAATTCTTTCAGGCCTTGCTCTCCAGCACAACTAGGAATCCACCTTGTGGCTTTCTACTGCAATCAGGATAGTTCTCTCAAAAAAGCAAATAGTCTGTTTTATCAAAACAAAACAAAACAAAAACAACAACAAAAAAGCAGTGTGTGTGGTGAGACCAGAGGCTATCAAGAAAACCTTGCCTCCCATTCCTCTTTCTTTTAGGACTTTCAGGAATCTGCAGATTGTGAAATATTTATATTCACTTATCCCCTGGAGAGAGATTTTAGTGGACAGAGAACAGCTGGATGCACCAGGAAGTCAAGGGAGGGAGGGAGCGGAAACAGAGAGAGAGGCTGTAGAGACCTTAGAAGCCACAAAGACTCCCACAAGGGGAGTGACGGACACAATTGACTGTGTAAAGGAACGATACGCTTGAACAGTGGGCAGTTTGCTTTCACCTTGTGGGAGTGAATTAGTGGACTGGAACTGCAAAATGGCAGTAACTAACTTTCTTCTTCCTGAATTGAAGAACGCCAAACTAGCTGCCAAAGCATCCAGCCAGTAGTGCAGCTGCAAAATCTGTTTCTTCTCCATCCATCTCTAAATCAAGCATAAGGTTCATATTTCACATTCTAGTTGCAGTAAAAGTTCTTCCTCTTTGTTAGTGTTTGTGTCTAGCTGATAACCCAGACTTGCATGGGCAATAAAGTTTAATAAAAAAGAATCAGATGAGAATATTTTCAGAATTCATGGCTGCTTTTATTTACCAAATTGAATCAGAGAATACAGAACGAGGTTTTGATATACGTTTTACCTTTTTGCTTGCTCATTTTGAGCCAGTCTAAGCTAGCATAATTTTAAATAACTTAAGGTTTGAGTAATAACTCCGTTTTCCAAAGTATCTGCTAAATCTGTGCTATTGGAAGAAAGAGAGGCAATGGACATTCTTGTATGAATGGCTTTCAATATTTAAATAATTTAAATTAATAAAGTATAAAATTATTTTTATGCTAAGCTAGCATAATTTAAATTTAATAATGTCAGTGAGGGCACTGGCGTTGCACATAGTATTTACAGTAATGCCAAAGCTGAGGCTCATGGAGGACTCCTAAAAATGAGCAATGTGATTTAGGACTGAACAGAGGTTTTAGTACATGGTTTATTCTTTCTAAATGGTTTCTAGGCTCACAAGGGGGGGGGGTTGTCTAATGCAGATTGAATGAGAAAGATGAGACTGGAACTGACTTCCTAGTTTTTGTCCCCAGCAGCCATGTCATAGAATCCTTTTTATGCCCTTCAGTTGACTCTAATCAATGGATTGTGTCTCAGGTGAACTTCTTCATCTCTCAGAACAACCTCTTACCACCTTTTGTTGATCCCAGCAATACATTAGGACTTTACCTGGGAACTTCAGTCTCCATTTTAACAGATCTTGCCTAGTACTTTCTTCCTTTTTTCATTACTTGCCCCTCTGATCTTCTGTTAGTTTCTCTTTCTTCACTTGTTTTGCCTAGCAATTACTTTTCTTTTTTCCTGTTTAGCAGTCATCCAGAATCAAGGAGTCTGACAGAAGTCTCTTTAATCTAGAGCCTAACTGCTTAGCACTGTCTGAAGTGAACACAGAAAGACAAGATCATGCTATTACTTATTAAAGGTAAAGTTCTCAGCTAATACTTGGAGAAAAAGGCATGGAAGCATCAAAAGGGAAATGTCATGAAATGTTCCTGGCAATAGCTGTTGTACTTAAGAATAGCCTACCCTAGGAAAGTCAGATCCTCTTGCTTGGGTTATCTAAGATGGCATTGCATGTGGTATTAGAGAAGATACTTTGTTAGCTCCCAGGACGCTGATCAGATCATGTAGCCAGTCTTTGGTACATCCATTCTCTAACCATACTAAATGAGTTAAATGTTTTTTTGAAAGACAAAATAGTTTATTATCAGTGAAACAAGAGGATGAATTCTCCAAGAGCAAAGTACCAAAAAACCCCACCAATGGCTCATATCACACGACTAATCCTTCTTGTAAGGTGCCTTTCACCCTCACATTTGAACACTGTGCATTACAATTAGGTATTGCAGTGAAAGCTGATATCAGAGAGGAAGAACTAATAGCAAGCAAATAATTCCAGAGATTTTTAATTAGGTATAACAGGGTCACTGCAGTAACAAACAGGTAATGCTCTTCAACAAAAAAGAGCAGCAGTTCCTTTGCTACATAGATAAGATGTATGGAGATGAAGCAGTACAAGAACAAAGCAAACTCGTCTTGGGGCACGCAGAGGTCCTGTAATCTTTCAATGGGCTGTGGAAAAAACAGAGTAGGAACAAATGATATCCAGAGAAGAGTTTAATCAGGTGAGGATATCTAATGTACTCTTTCTGCCCTCCCCTAGTGCTGTTGATACAGTGGTGGACAGCTTACTTCCTGTCTGAATTACACTTTAATCCAGCCACGAGTATTTCAAGGACATGCATTTGACACTGATATTTATCATTATCTGCTGAAAACCAGTATAACTGTATGGGAGAGTGCCAGTGAATTACAGACTGCAACATTGCTTAATTAGGGAAACCATTCAGCTAGTGCTTGATGGTGTACACTAAAAATTGTCTGAATATTTAACTACTCTAGCACTGAATTCTGTCTTCCTTGTGCTCAAAGCTGTTTTTCTGCTCTGATATCATAGGCAGTAACAGCAATATTCTGGCCATTTTTATATTATCTATTTATATTTTATATTATTTATATATAAATCTCAGATGGCTAGTTAATAGAAATAGCATGCAGTGTTTTGGAACTTGTGTGCAAAGTCACTCGAAACCATTGCTGCTACTCATTTCTGAATCCTTTGGAGACGTGCTCTTAAGAGCTCATAGCCAGGTCACCCAGAACAGGTTTCTGGGACTTCCGTTCAGCGCACTGCCCCAAAACTGGAACACTTGTCCGTTTGACTGTTATAAAGACAGCGTCATGTTGTATATTAGGCAACCAGTAGCTGCTTTAAAGGTGAGAGGTAGGATTTTTTCTGATGAGGAGCAAGGATGAAATTAAGCATGGGTGTCCCTTAAGAGTTACTTGGATTCATATGACAATTGAATTAAACTAGGGTTGGGTTTTCCCCTTGTGATCTTTGTCACTGCTAGACTAGAAGAGTTAATGAAATATATAGTATCACAGAAATCCCATACTGCTACATCTTCAAATTCTCTCACCACACTCCTTTATGGATTCATTTTCCCATTTTTGTACTGAGTTATCAAAGGAGGTATTGTATGACCTCAGAAGACTTCCTGGAGCTGACCTCATCGGGATAATCACGTACAGAATGAAGTTATTAGCTGTCACGTTACTTAAAGGTGTACTCTGGAAAGTAGAGGTATAACTTAAACCTCTACTTTCCAGAGTATCTGCTAAAACTGTGCTATTGAAAGAAAGAGAGGCAATGGATGTTTTTGTATGGCTCCTTGTCGGGATTGCCATAGTAGATTTCTTAGCATCACCTGCTCCATTTGGCTTTCAATTGGGTAATTGTTAACAAACTACCACTTTCTTGAGGCACGCAGAGCTTTTTTGCAGTCAGTGGTTTGCATCTGCAGTCAGCAGTTCGAATAACTGAAGACTCTCAGTTCAGGGCTAGCTGAGTTTCCCCACAGCTGTCCTGCCATCTGGCCTGTTTCTTTTACATCATGCTCCACGTCTCATTATTCTTTTCCTATGAGCTGTCCTTGTGTCTATTAACCAACAAAACTGCTTGTTTTTCCTTGCCTAGGCTTTGGTCCTGTAATCTCCTCTTCAGTTTCTTCAGAATTTATTCAGCCTCAGGATATTTTTGAGTTGATTGAAATGATTATTCCCTTGCCTCCGAAAAAAGTGTGACCTCAGTAATACAGGTTCGAACCTCAGCTGTGCCCTGTTTATATTCCCCCTCCAGCTAAAGAAATTTGGGGATATATACTCCAGGGAGGCAGTCATAGTTAAAACATAGCCAGAAATTCTGGAAAGATGACTGTACAGGTAATGTAGGAGAGAACAGGCTCTAGGCCTTGCCTTCTCCTTGCAGAAGGTGTGGCCTTCTCTGTCATACTGCACAGAAAGCTAGCTGGAAAAGAAAACACAGGAAAGGAAGATTTTTGCATAGTGAAACTGCCTGTCGGAGGACGCCAACAAGCCAGCAGGGTCTGGGAACAGTGACAGAGTTTGGGCAAGGAAGCAAAAAGGGACTTGCTTCCTTTGTTCGGATGTCAGAGCTGAGGTTTATGACAGAGGGTAAGAGGAAGCTTCCCCCAGCTCTGCTGGGTTAGAGGGAAAAGGGGGTCACGGCTTGTCAGGAAGGAGGTGTGCTGAGGAGTGGCAGAGACTTCTGCTGGTTTCTCTTCTGCTTTGTCTACTATGCGTTCCGGTTACTTGGAAAGGTAGGGATCCTTTAACCGAAAGGCAAATGATCCAGCTAGAATAGGAAGCTGAAGCTTGGCTCCCTTTGCATCGATAGAGGTAGGCACTTTTACCTGATACCGAGCAGAGAAACCAGTAGCAAAATTCATGCAGATTAACTGTTCTGTTATGCATATTTTAAGTCTCTGGAAACAGTGAACAGCAAGAAAGAACTGTAAGTTCACATATATGACTTGGAGTTAGACTGAATGGTGGTTTTCCTCAAAATTTCTGAAGAACTCAATTGTGTTACGCTGAATAAACTTTCATTTGATACATGGGGACACGTTAGTATTACATGTGGAACCACCAGGTACTGAGCACATGTCTGGGACTACCCCACCCTTCGTCCTCACTTTCTAAGCAAGACTTACACATGTTGGTGATGTTTGCAGCTGAAGAAGCTCCATTTTCTCTTTATGCTGCCGTTTCCTTTGCTCCTCCTCATACTGGCATTTCAGCATGGTTAGCTCCCTATCCAGCCTCAGTTTCTCCAGCTCAGCCTGAGAGACTTTGCTCAGCCGGCAGTTTGGCTGCTTCATCTTCAGCCACGTGGTTATCTCACCCTCGTTGTTGATTAGTTGTGCTTGAAAATAATCGCGTTCTTCCTGTGCCTTCGTGTGCTTGCGAATCTTCTGATTTCTAGCTTGTGGTGACTATCAGATCATCAGGGAGATTTCCTGGAGTTTCTCCTAGTGCAATTTGAGAAGCAAAATCCGCTCTTATTTGTCTCATATAACCAAGGCAAACAAATTAACATGTGTGTGTTTGTTTTGTTTTGTTTCAACAGGTTAACTGCGGCAGATTCATCCCAACAGATCAATTATATATGGAAATACCTAAAGCTTATGAAAATACAAATATTTTTTCTTAACCGTAGGAGTCACGTGGGTAGAGCTTTGTGTAGTTACTATAACACATTCCTGTAAAGACCCAAACTCGTGATATTAGGGTAAAAAAGGCAAAGTGTTACTGTGAATGGAATTGAGAATGAGATAACGATTATATATGTCATCAGTACAGGTCTCGTGAATGGTGTTATGCTGGGTGTAAATTTAACCCAAAGCCTTTTCTTTACAGTTTGGGCACAGCCAGGAACCAGCTGCGCAGAAGCCAGAGTTACTGATGTGTCTGCCCTCTAAGCATAAAGAAATTTTAGCTTATTAAAGCTACAGCAATTGGAAATAACCTGCATTTTACATTCTTACATTGTATTTTTGCTTGTTTCTGAGTATTTTAGGATCTCTAAGCTGAAAAAAATATTTCTGAATTGAGCGTGTGGAGTAAAGCTTGTTAATGGTAACCAGTGTGTTGATTATCATTTTCACAAACTTAATTATCAATTTAAGAAGCTCTTGTCTCTTCCTAGCACACATTCCTGCCTTTTCCTTACTCCTTGCTCAAAATGTCTTCCCCTGTCATCTGTGCTAAGTCCACAATGTGTGACTGAGCTGTAAATGTTGCTAGAAAACTCTGGCAGGAGAATGATTATGACATTTTTACCTTCTTTCTGTCAAACAGAAGGTCCGTTGTGCTTATAAGCAGAGGAAAGCTAGAGGAAACTGGGTTGTTTTCTCCCCCACCTAATTTTTTCAACCTTATCTCACTTCTGAGTCCTGTTATATCACATGGACTCTTCTGCTTTGGCTCTTCTTCCAGTCTGGCCGGTTTTCCAGGCCCTGTGCCACATGACTCAGCCTTTATAGTCTCTCTCCTTGTTGTCTTCAGAGGACAACAGTTTCATACTGACTGTGACTGGAGGTGTCTAGTTACAGCTGCATACAAAGCCTTAAAGAAAGCAAGCCTCAGATGCTTTTGTCAGCACATGGGTAGACTTGCACATCTGCATGCCCTCTTAAAGTGATGTCTGTTGAGGTAGGCTGATGGATGTTGTCTGAAGACCTGCTTATTTAGCAGATAAGTGCAGGAAGCCTGTACAAGAGCTTTCATTAGAAAAAGATCAAACAGAAAAGGCAGACTCCCCCATCACAGTTGTTAAATTCTGTCATAGTTCAAAGTCTATATAAAAAGGAGGGAGTAAACCTGAAAGTGGCCGGTTATGACTCTGACCATTGAGTCAGGTCCAAAGCGAGAGACAGCTAATGCTGGACTCGTAAGCAGTAGCGTCTGTCTCCCAAGCCTGCCATTCGCCGCGGCGGAGGTCTCGGTGAAGCCTGCTTCGGTCCAGCTCAGCCCAGGCTGTGTCCCGGCCGTCACTGTGCCGACCTCGCTGCTGCCATTGTGCTGCCCCGGCACCCGTCTTGCCGCGCCTGCATCGCACGCGCTCCGTTGCCAAGGGCCTTTGTCTCTCGGGCCTGGCAAATCTGATGCAATGGAGTTTACCCAATATTACATGCAAAGACTGGAGGTGATTTGCTTGAGACCTGGTTTAAAGCTTTGAGTACTAAGCCATCTTTCCTCTTTTCTCTCCCGCTTGCCTCTTGTTTACTGGCTTCTGTGGCAGAGGAGATGAAGGTTCTTCCAAGTGAGGCTGCATGCTACAGAGTTGTCTTAATTCACCCTCCAAAAAGAAAAGACTTAAGAAGGAACTTGAAACATGTTCTGATGACGCTTTCTGGATTTTGATAGGGATTTTCATACCTTGTCACATATTAACCATGTGAGGTCAGAAAAGCTGTGTGAGTGTTTGTTAGCAGAATAACAAGGACTGGAGCTGTCATTTGTATATCAAGGGAGATCTAATTGTCATGGTGTTGTTACCTGGTGGCAGTCTTTAAAGTCCTAAGAAAGAGGCTTATGTGTAAATGTAATAAGATGGTGCAAAGAAAGCTCAGTGAAGCTGGAGAGGTAAGGAAAGAGCAAAGTAGAAAATAACTGGCAGTAGTATCTGGCATAGCTGTGAGAGGCAAAGGGACTGGAGGTAGCAGACCTGGAAAAGTAGCGATGACAGTAGTCAAGGAACAAGATTATCAGTCCCTTGGCAAACACTTTGGCAGTCTCTCAGGCACATGATAGTCTTTACACAGTTCTGGAGGAAGGAGCGATAAGATGTAGATAGAGCCAAGATAAAAGGGAGACTGGGAGGGGGGCAAGGAAAGACGGTGCCCAGCTTATGCCTTTTAAGTAGGAAGATGATGCTGTCATACATAATGAGAGGAGAGGTAAAGAGAAGGGAAAATGGGAAGAAGTTTGAGTTTCACCCAGGTTAAAACAATAGACCTGCATCAAACACTGAAGTGTCATCATAGTTAGATAAATGATGAACGTCTTTTTAAGAGAGTTACAGGAGGTGTTTCTCAGGTACTGCTTCCTTCATGCCTTTCTCTTCTCTCTGCTGAGCTGAACAGCTGAGCACAAATGTACATTTGAGATGTCTAGTTATTTTGCCCCTCGCCTTGGTAAATCTCCATTTCTTGTGAAGAATTTTAATTAAGAGAACAGAGAAAGCTACAGAAAGGGGAAAAGATGAGCTATCCTCCCTTTTTGCAGAATATGAAAGGAAGCAGACTTTGAAAGCAGAAGCGCTGCAGAGAACTGAACAAAGAGGTAGCAACTGTGAGAAGTGATCTTCAGAGGAGCGGAGGCAGGAAACTATTTAATGACAGCTAGAAAATGTTATTTTGTCTTCTGCATTGGACAAAAAGAGATCCTGGAAGGCTCGAAGCCTTTTGTTTTCCACAAGGGAAAAAAAAAAAGAAACCTTATATGAAAAAAAATTGCATGTAAAAAATCAATAGATGAGGTGATCTCAGCTACAGTTTATAAAAGCTTGGTCTTTGGCAGTTGAGGTTGTTGTTGGATAATAACTTCATGGAAGTGCAAAAGAAACAGAAAAACTATTAAGAGAGGAACATTTAATAGTGTCAAAGCCATTAGAAGAGCAGATAAAAGTATTCAGTAGTGCCAGCATTGTCAAGGCCTGGAGCACATCCCTCTTCTGGGAGTTTAATTGGCTGAGTTTAGCTGGCTGAGTCAGCTCCTTCAATGATAGGAACTATTGTGAAGAAAGCAAGTGCTTCACTTGCCCCTCCTTTCCCTTGAGAACTGCATTTAAGCTGAGGCTTCACTGCTGGCCCTCATCTCTTCTACGCTGCAGGTGTGCAGCAGCTGTGTCTGCACCCGGTCTTGTACCTCTGCAAGTCTGACCCTGACCCAGACACACCAGTGTGGCTTCCTAGCTTGACCTCAGAACTGCCTCGCCACTACAGATGTGCTGGGGGATCACTGGACTGTGTCTGACCCTAACCACTGTCTCTGGCCCTGATCCTGACCTAGGCTTGCCACTCTGCATCCTGGCTCTGTGTTGGAGAGGTCACCGCTCGCACCTGCATTGTGATCATACCCTGCTCCTGGCTCACCTTCCCTTGCGGAGCAGCCGGCCCTCACCGCTCCCTGACAATCGCAGTGTGCCTGTAATAGGACAGAGGATGTGGCCAGCAGTCAGACTCACCATCAACAAAGGGAGAATGCAATAATTGGTAGGTGCCAGCCATATACATCATTAAAAGATAAAAATCATGTAAAGCTTAGAGACAGGAAGCTCACAGTAGATGTGGTTTGCGTGGAGCACAGGAACAGGCGTGTCAAGCACATGGGAAAATATGTATGAAGTGCAACATTGTTTTCACTGTTTCACAAATACACCTCAGAAGTATGCAGAAAAACATAAGTTATAAAGCATGTATAACTGGAGAACAGTTCAAGCGGTAGAATCTCGGCAACAGTGATACTGTCATATTTTTGTCATAATATACAATAAGGAAAATAACATTAACAAAGTATATGGAATTATTTCAAGGGATGCAGAAGAAGCGCTGCAGGAAGGCACAAGTACATGGAGATAATATATAAGGAAGCATAGCTCATTCTAAAACATTAATGTGACCTGTATCAGCAAGACTTACAGGATATAGAAAGTATCTATTTCATATAGCTGGGGTACGCAATGATAAATTGAAGTACAAGGAAAACCATCAAAACTTACATTTCTATGTAACAAACGTGTGCCAGCAGAAGGCATGGAACTGAAAGGCCTTAATCTGTAAAGCTGATGACATCCCAATGCAATGGAATCCTTTAAAAGATCATACATCAGAAGACGTTGGAGGAACATTCCCCTAATGTATCTGTGACGCTGCATCATGAAATCCCTGTAAAAGTGGAGCCTACCATGCATGCAGTGAAGTAATCACTGTTGAGGAAGAAATGCAAGTAAGATGGAATTACAGTATCCAGCATATTCTAAAATTGAGAAAAAAGGAGGAGGAACCAGTGTGATAATTTGCTGGGGGAAAACAGGCCAACCCTTTTATCCATAGGTGAAAGCTATAGGCCAAAAAACATGGAATCAAATGAAAATGAAAATTAGAAATCATATATTCTGTCAGTCTAAGAAACAGGTACTAGAAAAGCCTGTGCATGGGAGATGTCCAGAGAGCTAGTAGAAACAATCACGTGGGATTGCTGCTACCCACTGAGTTTGGATGGCATTGGTTTGTATGCTGTATGCAGCTACCGCTAGATGCTCAGTCTAGATGACTGCTGCCCCAAACTGTACAAAGGGTGAGTAAGTCACCTACTTTCAGCATACTGCTTGGAAAACCGTATTTCCAGATAATGTCCTATTGATCTATCATCTACGTTAGAGCTATGCCAGAAAGAGTATATGAAAACTTGTCAGAACCGTTGACATCCTAGTAGACAACAGCACCCAAACAGCAGCTGAACTAGTCATATGCAATACAGAGAAAAAGAGGACAATTATTTAAGTTAATAAACTTCATCTCTGCCTCCATGTCTGCTCCT